AATGCTTTTTGGAAAATGGAAGCAGATTTAACATTCCAGATAAAAATAAGCTACAATTGTCTGTCTGTCGGTTTGTCGTGTCGCTTGGTCTGTAGTGCTGTTTTGTGCGGGGGACAGGGCGCGTAAGCGTTTTAACAAACTACTTTGATAATTCGTTGGTAATCTCTTTTGCTGGAGGTAAAACTTGGCATATCCTCAAAATGTTGAAAATAATTAAATAAATGGCGTGACAATTTAATTTGTCACTTTACATCAAAGTGACAAGTTATATTCGTAAGATGATAAAAAGAAAACAAAAAACTAAATCAAAATGCATATTTTTATGGGGGGGACAACTTATGTTTATATATTTTTCAAGGGTAAATTGTCATGGAATCCCACGGGAACCACAGTTATGAAAATGTTTTTGGTTAACAGAATTTTTGATTTTCGAAGGTATATTTGTGAATGTGTGAATGTGTGTGTATGTATTACACAAATAAATAAAAAATATATTGTTTGCCAAATATGGCGCCCAATGAAATGCATTTTTCACAGATTTCAAATGAAGCGGCAATAGTCGTATCTAAGAGCGATATTGAAGAAACTGCTAGGGTTCGAAGTGAAAATATTAAGTCATTACAAAAATGGTGAAACATTTGCAGTGCATGTTCGTAAAACTAATCCATTTTTGAGTTGTCATGAAGAATCTTTAAAGAACGAGGAACGAGTTTGTGCTGCGAAGAATAATACCTGTATCCTAATACAACCGTAGCCTAAAATATAAACTAAGTCCAGGTTTTCCCATTCTATGTTGGAACGGTCTTGGTGTTGTATCTCCGAATTGATTTCTCAACTGCATCAGTGTGAATACGATTCAATCCTTGCTTGATAGGTCTGTTGATCTAGTGGACGTTTTTATACCTCTGGACCTATCTGTCCAGATCATTGAAATCATTCCTGACAAGCCACGGTAGTGGATACCAATCCGTATGTTGAGGTTCGAATGCCTGCTTTATAATATCCAAACCTATAATGCATGGACAACATCTTGTTGTGATGACCCACAGGAAGGATCTTCGTTTCCTCATGTAAGTAGTCTATTGGAGACCCGAGGACACACCTTGTTGAAGTCATCAGGGCCGCATTCTGGCAGGATTGGTGGACCACACGAGACCTACATAGTTTTTAACAATGTTTCTTTATCAGATCCCCAAGTAATGTCGGCTAGTGACTTGAGAAACTTATTCCTGCTGACTAATAGTATCTAATGCTTTTGATAGATCAAGAATAACATAACTGTTCTCTTTAACGCCCTATTCTGAAAATGTCGTACAAAGTTTTTGCTTTCGGAATACATGTTGATATCAGCAACATACTCGAATGATAGGGAGTTAGCTCCCGGCGACAACAGTGAGAACGGCCTATAGTGGGACCACGCTGACCATTTTCCTGGCATCTGGGACTATTAGGATGTCTAACGAAAAATTGAGGACTTTGGTTAGGTACTGTACTCATGGCTTATTCAGATGCTTCAAAGTCACCGTAGAGATTACATCAGGACGAGCACCTTGGAGATCGTATTCTTCGAAATACGCTTCGTCCTGTCGCTTTTACGTGTTTTGTGCGGTTTATGGTCCAGCGGCATCATTGTATCTTACTTTATTTAATTAGTTACTGTGAATGGTTACGTGATTAATTTGTTTTTTAATGCTCGAAGTTCCGCAAAATTAATACGGCTATGCATGATATCTTTAAGTGGCACAAGGTCAGCAGTTAAAGTCGGAAAGGACCTCTCGAAGCTCTTCAATACCGAACGAGGATTCATGCTGGAAAAGGTCATATGAGATGAAAATGTGAACAGAAATGACACTTGTACACCAAACATCATATGTTACTCGCCTACGCCGACGACATCGACATAGTGGGTCGAACATTTTACCGCTCGACCCACTATGTCGATGTCAGCCACCTTTGAACGAATTGAGAAGGAGCCTGTCAAAGTGGAACTGGCAGTAAATGGCGAGAAGTCCAGTAGAATCGGGCCATCTGTGGAACTTGAAAACTACAGCTTCGAGGTATTGATAGGTTTTATATACCTCGGTACCGTCATAAACAAAGATAATAACATGAAATCCGGATGAAAATAGTGTTGGCCAACAGATGGTACTATTGTCTAAGTAAGAAACTCAAAAGCAACCCCACCTCTCGCCAGAACAAACTCACACTCTACAAGACGACGGTGAATATTGTCGTTGAATGAACCGTGTGCTATACCATCTATTCCCGGACATCGACATAGTCTGATGGATCGAGCTGCAGATGACGATGCCCCAGCTCAAAAGGCATATAAAAGGGACCCAAGTGATGGTTCGCGCAGAAGAGGAAGGCCACGAATCCGATGGAAGGATCAAGTATAATCAAACATCTCGGAACATGGTCTTTCAAATTGAAAATCTCGGCTTATGGAACAAAAGGTCTGTCACAAGCAAGCTAAGTAATGTTTCGAAGTTCTTTAAGAGATAAGCTGCCCAAAAAATAAACATTTTAATAATTAAATTTGAAAAAATTAAAGGAAATTGCATCGTCTATGTCAATCTAGGCTTGAATAATTGGTCTGTTACCGAACTGCAACAATGTGCTAATTTTTACTATTTGTACATTCTTGCAGGTCCTGGAAAATTCATAATATTTTGAGAGAAAACCTGAAATCACAATGTTTCTATTTCCAAAAAAAAATGACATTCAAACACCTGAACAAATAGCTTAACTCAGTCTATACTTCCATAACTTTTAACATTTTTGTATGTTGTAATTCGCCGATTACATTTGTCCAATACTGTGATTGGAAGTGTGTAATCGATAATGGAAGTCAAAGTAAATTCGAATCGAGGGAGTCATAAAGAGATAGAGAGCCCTAGTCAGAGAGAATGGTTAAATTAAAGGAGAAATAAAAGAAGCCACAAACAAAAACACAACACATTGGAAGCAAATGCTGGTCAGAGAGCGAGAGTTTGACTCATTGGAATAGAACAAAACAAATTCATTACTACACTCTCAGAACTCTCAGAACATGTTGTCTATCTTTGTTGCACACCAACAAAAGTATCTTGGAGATACAATATTTTCCATCTATTGAACTTACCACTCCAACATCAAAGAGCTAGAGAGCGAACGGCCAAGAGAGAAAACAATAAAATGTGCGGAGAGTGAGAGTGTGGCCAACTTTCCAATACGTAAAGAGAGCGGCAAACATGACAGAGGCAGAGGTAAATTTGAATTTCTTGCACTCGTCAGATACTCAGATACTAGTAGACATTGAAACATTGAACTTAGACAGCGGCAACCTAATAATACGCCAAGCAACTCATCAAACCGTATCAGTTCAACAAAAAAAGAAAAATAAACACACACACAATTTTCATGCAAACTAAAAAAATAAAGCAAAGGAAAAAATACTTTAATGTTGTGTAAAATAAAACAAAAGTGAAATAATTAAAAAAATAAATAGAAAAAACATAGGCTGCCGTTAAGAACAAAAAGTTAGCAAGAAAAAATGCTGTGTCCGAGGAACAAAGAAGAAAAGTTTTCAATTTTTTAAAAGAACCCGACCATCATTCGCACTTCAGCCTTTTATCCTGGCAATTGGAATTTGCCAAACCAGAAAAGAAAATTTTTTTTCAATTGAGTTTTGTGTAATTTTTTGCTAAAGAAATTTCCAATTTTTCGGCCGTGTAATGAATGTCGTTGTATGTACAAAGCACAGTGTATGTATGTTTGATCGCGTGTGTGTGTAAGCGAGTGTGAAAAAATAAATAAATGCAAAATTTTGTGTACCCTTAAAAAACCCCTGGTGCGCGCTGCCCTCCCTATGGCCAATGACGGCAACGACAACAACAACAAACAGCAGCACGCCAACCATAACGAAAAGTAAACGAAACGAACGACGGGATTCTGGCTTCCTTCTTCTCATCGCAAACTCGGGTTAATTGAAGAACAAATCAAATGAAATTTGAAACAACAGCAACAACAACAAAAGAGAAAATTTTGAAATGCAATTTTGAATAAAACAAAATAAATTAAAAAAAGTTCCGCTTTAAATTAATGGTTTTTTTGTGAAAATAGTAAAAAATGAAATGAAAATTAGTGGCATAAAGAAAAACAAGTTGTGATGAGGAAATTTGTATCGTTGATATCTTTGAATTGTATCTAAACCCATTTTACTACTCATACAAATGAAACAATTCTCATGTCACGGTTTAATTGGATTGAAGTTGAATTGAGAGCAGCAGTGGCAACAGCAGCAATAACAACAACAACAGCACCACTAACAAAAACAAACGCGCGGCCTTTCAAGTATTCCTGTGGTTTCGGGCTTCGTGGTACTTCATAATAGCAACCATCCAACCAACCAACCAACCTTCCATCCATCCATCTATCCCGACAACGACAAAACGAAAACACACCACACAGAGAGCCGGAGAGAAAGAGCCGAACTGGAAGTGTCGTCTCTGTGTGCCACAAAACTTTGCCGGAGCACAAACCGGACCTTTTGCCAGAGAGTGGCTGAATGCGTAGTGGCTCTTTGGAGCAGCGCAGCATACCACCCAATAGCAGTAGCAGCAGCAACATTCATCCATCATTTGCAAAAGGGAAACACCTTGCCTTTTGTCGGCTGGTGGCCACTACAACACTAGCACTGCTGCAAAAGGCCAAAACACATAGCCAACCAAATCGGGAACTAGTTGGCCAACAAACATAGAACCGAAAACGAGACGAAATTAAAAAAAAAAACAAAAATATCCTCCAAAAGAATTCAGTCGTGATACGATTTGTAACGCGTTTAATTCGTGTGAATCCAAAAATTAAAAAAGAAAAAAATAAAGAATACTGTCCGTGTTCGTTTCGAATCCTTGAAAAATTCTGATTTCCATGTTCGTAATTTATACAATTTGTGCTTGGATATTTGTTTGCTCTTCTTCCTCGTTTGGAGAATTTTTTGAAAATTTCAAAATTTACCAATGATTGTGGAGACGAAGAAGCAGCAGATTTCATTGAGTATGGATTCTCAACCACATCATCAACAACAACGACAACAACGAGTAAGTATATACCTACCTTATCCTTGTAGTCTGTAACCAGTGTTGTAAAGTGTTGCAAATAATGTTGCCGATTTTGAGCGACCAATACCCAAAATAAGAAGGAAATTCTGATTTGATTCATAGTTACACTCCATCGAATGCTCGCAAACACACACACATGTACTCACACTGCCATAATGGCTAAATGCGTGTGCGTAAGTGTCCTTGCCTGGCCTCGTACTTTGCATTATCGTTATGTTCATCGTTCGTCAAGTATTATGTTTAAACAATTATTCCTTATCTGGCATCTGTTGTGTGACGAAGAGCATAAATTTAGCTTGACTAGGATAGACGGACTGGCGGACGGACAGACGAACAGGGGTGCAGTAGCGATGTAGAGTAGTGTAGTCCTTGGTGGGGTGGGTTATGTGTTCTTTTTTGTTGCTGTTGTTTTTGTTTTAAAAAGGATAATGAATGCGGCAAGGTGGGAGTGGAGTTTGAAATTTTTATTTGCCAAAACGGCAGATGAGTGTTGCCGTTTCGAATGTTTGATTAATACAAAACTGAAATGTTTTTCTTTTTTTGTTGTTGTTGCTGTTGAATTGCAAGTCCAAGAAAGGGGGAAAATTAGTGACCGTAACACAGGTTTTATTTGTAAAGAAAAGAATTGCAAATACAATTCAAGGTGAAAGAAAAATTTTCAATCGTTAAGGAAAAATCTACATCTAACTACGAAATTTGTAATTTAAAAGAGATTTAAAAAAATTATCGAGTCTGAGGATATTCTATAAAAATTCGAATAGGGTCAGGAAGTACCTATTTTCTGTGCATAATTTTGGTCCTGTTGTCTTTTTGATGTTTTTTCCACAATTAAAAGAAAAAAACTGTGTACCTTCATTCAGGGTTCCATTTTTTTCTTTGTACTAAGCCAATATCGTGTTCAGAACACGGTCTACAAAAATTCATAGGACAAACTTGCTCCTGATGTATTTTTGAAGCTTTTTTTCAAAAAGTAAACGAAAAACCAATGTAGCTTCATCCATGGTTTCACTTTGCACAGAGCCATTGTCGGGTTCAGAATACGTTCTAAAAAATTCAATATCTATTTAAATTTGAATCTGACCAAAGCATGTATGTAGGGTCTATGGATAAAATAAAGGATTAGTCCATATCCTATTTCACATATAATTTAAATTAGTTCAATTCTAATTTAGAAATTCCTATATTTTGTATGTAATTTGGCAATGTCGGGTACGGAACACGGTCAGAAAAATCCATTGGATAAACTTGGTTCTGATTGATGCTCTTTCCAAAAGGAAACGAAAAATCGATGTACCCTCATCCATGGTTTAACGTTGTACAGAGCCATTGTCGGGTTCAGAACACGCTCCAAAAAAATTCAAAATCCATTTAAATGTGAATATGACCGAAGCCTGTATGAAGGGTCTTTTTCACATGTTACTTAAATTGTTTCAATTCTAATTGGGAAATTCCAATACTTTAATGGAATTTGGCAAATTCCATTAAAGAAGGAATTTTCAATCTTTTTAATATTAATTCGAATATTTTAATTATAATTCAAATCATTCTGTATTTCGAAATATTTTCTTTTAAAATGCGAATTATGTGGTTTATAATTCATGTAATTCCATATGGATTTGGAAAGCATAGGGTAACACACACCTCAAAAAATAAGTGGAGCTTTCCAAAAACAGGTGTTATTTTGATTTTCAAAAAAAAAAAATATATATATATATATTTTTTAGATAAATTTTGGATCGTTCTTTTGCTATGACCACCACCAGCACACCCATAGGACTATATCCTTTTAATATTTTTTCGCTACGTTGTTCCTCGATGTTCTCGATATGATCACAATTCCTATATCTGAGACCTTGGGATTACCTTTCACGTGGCCCCCAAAGAAATAAGTCGGTGGATAATTGTGATCACCTCTTCGAGATATATCTCGATGCTGCAATATTTTCCGTGAAAGAGCAATGATTTGATTTTGAAACCATTTCCCAACAAACAGGCCGTGTAATAAGCGAAATTATTTCACCTGAACTGTCAAAAAATGACTTAATCGTCATTGACTAAATCGTCAATCGTCAGTGTCTATATTCAACACTTTTGCTTCTTGACATTACTACCTCTTCAGTTAAGATGATTTTTCGCTGATATTCCGCATCATGTTCATGCATATCAAGGACCTAACCAGCAAATACACCACCTTATAAGCCTTGCGAAATACGCGATGTAATGAAGTTTGTTAAATGTCCGGTACAAAGACGAATGGAAAACCTTTGGTTAGCTTCAACAGGAATAGCTATTGTTCCTGATCGACGTAGGCGGGTTTTATCTTTTCCAATAGCTCACTGTGTTGTAAAGCATACATTGAATTTTAGACTTTATTACTGTCAAAGAAGCCCAGCTAACATGGGGAGCAGAAAATATCCTGAACGTGCTTTCCACACAATTACCAACGGTGCCTATCATAAGATCCTCGCACAGTTAGAAACCTTGTCAAATATATGGGATTGGTTATACCAATCAGAGCCCTTACATATACGAGGCGTAGGGTGCAAACTCTTTTCATATCTCGCTGACATTAAAACAAAATCAATTTTAATATCCAAATAAAAATCGACCATTTTCAAATATGGAAACCCCATAAACGGCAACATTACTAAGGACTCTCCCTCTGGTTTTATATCTCTATGAGAGTACCAGAAAGAGAGGTAATTTACTCTCTCATATTATTTTCGTTTTGTATTTCCACAAAACGGAAAATTTCCAGTCATTCACAAATGAAAAAAACGAAGAAAAAAACACAAACGAGCAGCACAACATTCTTGCCAAAAAAAGGATAATGAACAGCAACAACAACAAACGAACATAGCTACTTATTTTTGGACACGAATCTCTTTTTCCTTTGACGAAGATTTTATTTCATTTTTTGTGTCTCGAAAAAGTTCCTTGTTCCTCGAATGGCACACACTCAAAATTTGTGTAAATGTGTATGTATTTGTGCGTGTGAGTGTTTGCGTGTCTCCTCTCGTTTTTTGTACTTTTCCAAAATGTTTGAAAGTTGAATTCAATGTTGGTTTTATTTAAATATTTAATGGCTATTTTTGGAAACTGTTTAACTTTCTAGGCGCTTGGACTAACAAAATTAAAAATTTTTTAATAAACCAACACAGCACAGCGGCAGTGGCTTAAACAAAGTGCTGCGGAGTAGATGACAGTTTTACAAAATGAGGTCGTTTGAATAAAAGTTGTTGTTATTCTGTTTTTCATTCTTCTTTAGTTTCCTTTTTGCAACAATCACCCGCCTCACACACACACGCAGTCAAACACAGTTACCACCTTTACCACCAACATCATCGCCGTCCTCGTCATCATCATCATCATAAACATCATCTTTCCAGCACACAGGTCCAGAAATATGCCTGCCGTGAACTTTTTTATGTTGTTGACTCATGGCTCAAGGATACATTTTATTAAAAATCCTTTTTTACACACACACCCACACAATCTCCCCCCAACACTCCCACACACACATACAACCCCACTTAAGTTTCCATAAACTGTGTTTTTTCTTCTTCTTCTTTCTTGTTCTTCTGCTACTTGGTGGGGGTGGCGTGGAGTGGGGGGAGGTTTCACGGGGTCCTGTTTAATTTTGTAGTGTAAACTTGACTATGACAATATTAAACTTGTAGGTTATACCCATGGCCTGGTTCATGTTACAACAACAGCAACAACAACAAAACTTTTCTAAATCTTTGCCAAAGGCAATTTTTTTAATTTCTCCATAATTTTAATTATATTGTAGAGAGACGTAAAAAATATATAAAAAAAGAAATTATGGCATTCGACATTAATCTCTATTTAAGGATAACGGGTTCACCTGGACAAATTATAAAAAATTAATGAAAGAAATGGAAAGGGGGGAAGAGTACTTTTTTAAAGATATTTTAAAGAAAAAAATGAGAAGGTAGTTTGTGGTATAATTAGGAAAAGTGTTTAGTGAGGGAAGATGAATACAAAATGAGAAGTAATTTTGGGGGAACTATTTGGAAATAATCGTAAAAAATAAAAAAAAACATTTTTTAAATATTACATTTTTTCATATAAAATATAAAAAAGTAATATCCAATTCCGTGATGTAATAGAGCTAATTATCTGTATTTTTTAATTTATAATTTTGAATATTTTAAGTGAAAAAATGTTTAACTATTACAAATGTTTCCACTATTTTTGGACTGGCACCAATTGTTTGAAATTTTTTTCTTAAAAATAAATAAATAGAACACGGATGATTCTGCTGTATTAAATTAATTAAATATTTTTTAAACATAAATAACATCCCAGGAAGTGTAAAAAGTAAATTAATTTTGACATCAAACTATGTTAAGAGAACGCATCAATGCTGGTGTGCTGGGCTGCTCAACTTTGGCTGGAACATAGAGGAACATCTATTCCTTTAATTTTCAAATTATATACTGGTCACATATTTTCTCAATTGCCAAATACTCACTTACTTAGCTGGCTTGTGACAGAACATTTTTTCCATAAGCCGAGCATAAAAAAAGCTCAGTCTTGTGCGCAGTTTTCCCAATTTTAAAGACCACAGATGTTGTCTTCCACTTGTCGATGTCCGAGAATAAATCAGAACTCGTGGTTCATTCGATGGCGATATTAACGTCGACGCAGATCGGTCCATAGATCTTTCGCAGAATTTTTCTCTCAAACACTCTAAGTTCCCTTATCTGCTTGTGCAAGTACCCATGCTTCAGATTCATACAACAGTACGGGTAGTATCAGCGTCTTGTAGAGTGCGAGTCTGGCGAGAGGTGGCCTTGTTTTGAAATTACTTACTTAGACATATTCTCTTCTAGATTTCAAAACTGATGTTATTAATATTATTTATGGCGGTAAAATCTTTGACTACCTCGAAGCTGCAGTTTTCAAGTTCCACAGTTGGTCCGAGTCTACTGGACGTCTTGCGTATTGATACC